GATTTCGTAGCACTTTACAATATTATGAGATGGGGGATGTAACTATAAATAGGACAATTACAAAAAAAATTACAGGAACAATAGGTTGAAGAGGACCCTGCTCAAACGAGCTTACAGTCTATAGAAGGTAGGGTATAAGACACGTTAGGACAGGAAATATCAATCAAATACGGTGGGAGTGAAGCAGAGCTGGAGGAGAGAGTAAAGCACTGCCCTATAGGAGTGAGCAAGAGACAGGTATGTAAGGTAGAGGTTACTCTGGGAGGCCATAAGCTTTCCTGAAGAGATGGGTTTTAAGGCTCTTCTTAAATGATTGAACACTAGGGGAGAGTCTGATGGCAGTAGGCAGGCTATTCTATAGGAAAGGAGCCACCCACGAGAGGTTCTGCAATCGCGAGTTGGCCGTACGGGTGCGAGCAGCGGTCAGGAGGTTGTCACGGGCAGAGCAGAGGGAACGAGGAGGGGCATACCTATGGATCATTGAGGAGATATAAGAGGGGCTAGAATTGTTCAGTGCTTTAAATGTAAGGGTTAGCACTTTGAATTGACTCCTATAGGATACAGGGAGCCAATGTAAGGACTGGCAGAGGGGTGATGTGTGAGAGGACCGACTAGAGAGAAAAATCAGTCTACCTGCAGCATTCATTACAGACTGTAGCGGGGCAATACGGCTTTTGGGGAGACCAATTAGGAGAGGGTTACAGTAATTCATGTGGGAAATTACTAGAGCATGGACAAGCTCTTTGGTCGCATCTTGCGTAAGAAAGGGGCGGATGCGGGCTATGTTTTTAGACCACTTTACTGCTTGCAGCCAAGATTAGTCATTTATATAGACCACAGGACATGTTACTTGGATATAACATGTCCAGCGTCTAATTATTATGAGACACTTTGTCACCTGTACCTGAGACAGAGCATGGGATGAATGTTCCTTCTATATTTTGAGCCTGACTTTAAAAATATATATGAGTGATCTGTCTACATATTCTGCTCTAATCCAATAGTATATACTACAGATACTGATCTCCATATATACACACATGTATTTGAGTATTCTTGCCCCAGGTTTTTAAAGCTGTATTGCTCTGTTTTTTTGTGTCTTATACATGGTGGGTTGTGTTCACAACTTTTTAACGTAAATTTGTTTATGTTTTGTGTATTTGGTTTTCAATAAAGTCTATTACCATTTATAATATTTTCACAATAGAGGTAATTCTAGTGAGGTGGGTCCCATCTAATTTTTATTTGTAGACCTAACCTCACTTTTTCTATTTTTTAAGTGTTGATGTTAATTGGGTTCATGCCCCGTATTACCTCAGTGACCTTCTCTATGGCAACTAGTGACTTCCGCAAATGTTCGCGAACCGGCGAACCGCCCGAACCGCCATAGACTTCAATGGGCAGGCGAATTTTAAAACACACAGGGACTCTTTCTGGCCACAATAGTGATGGAAAAGTTGTTTCAAGGGGACTAACACCTGGACTGTGGCATGCCGGAGGGGGATCCATGGCAAAACTCCCATGGAAAATTACACAGTTGATGCAGAGTCTGGTTTTAATCCATAAAGGGCAGAAATCATCTAACATTCCTAAATCACAATGAATATGGATTGACACCTGACATATGACATATTGACACCTTGACATATGGATTGACACCTGTCCTCAGAGCCCCTGATGCACACGGACACAGAGCAGAATAGAGACTGGTCCCCCTACATAGGGTCACTTGGCAGATATGGATTGACACCTGTCCTAAGGATCCCTGATACACACCGACACAGAGCAGAATAGGGACTGTTCCCCCTACATCGGGTCACTTGGCAGATATGGATTGACACCTGTCCTAAGGTTCCCTGATACACACTGACACAGAGCAGCATAGGGACTGGTCCCAGTACATAGGGTCACTTGGCAGATATGGATTGACACCTGTCCTCAGAGACCATGATACACACTGACACAGAGCAGAATAGAGACTGTTACCCCTACATAGGGTCACTTGGCAGATATGGATTGACACCTGTCCTAAGGATCCCTGATACACAATGACACAGAGCAGAATAGGGACTGTTCCCCCTACATAGGGTCACTTGGCAGATATGGATTGACACCTTGTTACAAACTGCTATTTGTAACGGGCCCTTTAAATGGCAATTTGCCCTGCTTCCCTGGGTTGTGGAGAAGCCTATTTGCCAGCCTCCTCCCGCATGACTATGGCCCCTGGGAGATTGTGAAAATGTATGCACTTTTATTTGGTGTGTATTGCCCTTTAAGACTGTCGGTGGGCATATTTGGGCTTATGGACTCTTTATGTGACTGGTGCTGGCCCTTTAAACACCTTTTTTGGGACATCAGGAAGATTGGGACACTGCCCCTTTAAGGCCGTGTCCCCAGACTTGTTGGGGACACTGCCCCTTTAAGAGGGTGTCCCCTGTGTCCCCAGACCTGGTGCAAACCCTTTGTGCCTGCCTGGCTAATTCCCACTTGGTTCAGTAAATTGGGCTTACTAAACCAAGTACCACACAGGCAGACCACCCAGAAGTGGAAGTGTGCAGGCAATTTACCTCCCAGAAGCTGCGGTTAACCGCAGCTTAATTGACAATGCTGGAGGTCTTTGTTCGTTTGCTGAACACGTGGCGGCGGCCATCTTTGATCATTCGACGAGGTCAGCGGTATGTGTAGCCAAATTCATGGAACTAAGATAGGCTACACGCATTTCATGATACCATGAAAATCTACCTTCTCCCCTACTGGTTTTACAGCTGCAGAGACTAAGTCCCATTCAGTGATGGGACTTGATCTTTCAACCCTGAAATAGACCATTTTCCTGACCCAAATCTATGGAACTGTTTTTGGGCAGGAAAATGTGCTAACGATTCGGTTATAAAGGGACCTCCAACTAACTTGCCCAACCCCTGAATGTATTTGGCTGATTTTTGGTTATGTTTATGTTTTAAGTGTGCTGATTCCAAATATGTAATTATGAAGATGGGATGTGTAGTTTTAAAGTTACAGGGTATGGCTAAAAACTGTATTTTTACTGCCTGTGTTTAATTATGTTAATCTCTTCCCAAGCGTCATTTCGTTCAAAGTGGAGAGAATGTTAAAAAAATATATTTTTGTTAGGAGTGTGAGAAATGCTTTTCAGCCGCTTCTAATCTTAAGCATCATTTGAGGAGCCATACAGGAGAGAAACCTTATTTGTGGTGTGTTTAGTATTGTTCTGATCAGTTTAATACCTTCCGCGTCTCCTAGCAGTGGACGTGTATATGGCAGCCATTTTAGGAACGTACACCTGGGACCCGAGCAAGGTCACCTCGTTCAACAGGCTTGCAGCGTATCCTCCAGGAAGAAGAGCCTGAACCCTTACCGGCTGCACGTGTCATACCTGTACATGGAAAGCTGCTGTGGTTCCTTGATGAGCCAGCTGCCCGTGAGTTAACATGTCCCGTGGAGAAGCACTCTGTCCTGTAAAGCCTCACCAAAAAAGGAGTGGTGTGTTTAGTATTGTTCTGATCAGTTTAATACCTTCCGCGTCTCCTATCAGTGGACGTGTATATGGCAGCCATTTTGTCAGATTCAAGTTCTTGTGCCCCACAGTTCAAAATAACATTCAAATGACAATTCATGACCAAGATCACACAAGTGATAGCCCTGCCAACGTCTTCAGAATTTTTCGTTTTCTGTGAAGAAATAGAAATGTAAAGGCAGAATAGAGACTGTTCAGTTAATACCTTCGGCGTCTCCTATCAGTGGGCGTGTACGGCATTGATTTTATCTAAGCCCGGTAAACTTTTGCATAGCCAGTAGATTCTACCATTGAAAAGGAGTGCATGGCGGTGGTGTGGGCCCTCAAAAGCTGCAACCTACTTGTATGGACAACCGTTTACCTTACTCACAGATCACAACAAATTTGGGGCACTTGGGCAATCTGTGCCTTTGAATGGGAATGGTGTGTTTAGTACTATTTTATCAGTTTAATACCTTCAGCGTCTCTATCAGTGGGCGTGTACGGCGATGATTTTTGTAACAGGAGATGGAAGAAGAGGCTTAGTGGTCCTCTTACTGCAAATTTGGGGCACTCTTGGCAGTCGAAGCTAATGTGACACCAGGTGAGTGGTGTGTTTAGTATTGTTCTGATCAGTTTAATACCTTCCGCGTCTCCTATCAGTGGACGTGTACACGGCATTGATTTTTTATCTAAGCCGTAAACTTTTGCACAGCGAAGTATATTCACTGCCATTGAAAAGGAGTGCATGGCGGTGGTGTGGGCCCTCAAAAAGCTGCAACCTACTTGTATGGACAACCGTTTACCTTACTCACAGATCACAACAAATTTGGGGCACTGCGCGTGCAATCTAATGTGCCACCAGATAGGAGTGGTGTGTTTAGTACTATTTTTATCAGTTTAATACTTTCCACGTCTCCTATCAGTGGACATGTACACGGCATTGATTTTTGTAACAGGGAGATGGAAGAAGAGGCTTGGTCGGTCCTCTTACGGCAAATTTGGGGCACTGCGCGGTCAAGCTAATGTGACACCAGATAGGAGTGGTGTGTTTAGTACTATTTTTATCAGTTTAATACCTTCCGGGTCTGCTGTGAGTGGTCGTGT